CTGCACCAGCCGCGCCAGTCTCGCCGCGGCGGCCTTGCGCTGGGCGGGGGTGTCGTGCAGGTCGAAGAGCAGGGCGAGGGCTAAGGCGGTCTGGGAATCGGCGACGACGAAGCCTGCCTTGGTGATGTACTTGTCCTGGAAGAGCTGCTTGAGGCGCTTTTGCTCGGCCGAGAATTTGTCTGCGTCATCTGTGATGGAGAGGATACGGGCGATTTGGGACACGACGCCGGTTACGTGGACGAGGTAGGCGTCTGCAACGAGAGTGCCGTCAGTTCTCACGAGGCCGGGTTCGGCGGGGGGCGCGTTCGGGTCGAGCCAGTCGCCGAGCTGCCACAGGTCGGTGTCCCAGAGGCCGTCGTCGCCTCGCTTGATGGAGTTGAGGTAGTCCTTCATGCCGGGATATGTTTCTTCAAGAACGCCTGCGTCGCCGAACCACTTGTACAAAGTCCATGGCACTAACACGACTACATCGTCCCAGACAGCCTGCGGAAGCGCGGGGAATGGGCCGTCCTTCATGACATTCGGCACCACCAGCGGCACGACGCCCCCGGCATCCTTCTGGTCAAGGGTCACATCCCTCATCCAGTTGCTGAGCATTCCGCCACAATCATACAAAAACGAGGCCGTGGGGCTGAAGATCTGGATATCCCCCGTCCATCCCAAACGCTCATCACGCTGGGGACAGTCCGTAGGGATCGAGACGAAGTTGCCGCGCATACTCCACACCACGTTGCGGTGCAGCGCGTTGATGTCCTCATCAGAGCACGAGAAGAAGCCCGTCCGCTGCATGTCAGTGTGCATCACCACCGCAGACACGGAGTCAAGGGTGACCTCATCAGCAGCCCAGCCGTGCAGCTCGACGTAACGGAAGCCATGGTAGGTGAAGTGGGGCGACCAGTCCTGCAGTCCGCGCCCGCCGCCGAAGATGATTGTGTCGGTCTGCTTTGCTCTGCGCAGAGGCCGGATGCCGAGGTAGCCGTTCTCGAGGACCTCTGCGTGGCGGATGGTGAGGCGGTGGCCGTCTGGCTTCTTGAGGGAGTGGAGGACGAGTTTGCCGACGAGGTTCTGGCCAAAGTCGATGAGGGCCTTGCCGGAGGGGTCTGTGAAGACTTTGATGGGTTTGATCGTTTCGGTAATGCGCACCGGCGAGGAGGATGATGGGACCAGAGATGGTTTGGGGAAGGGGAGGGTCTCTACGGAGGTCCATTTTGATGTGTCGTGGTGCCAGTCGTCTACTTCGAGGCCGAGATCGTAGGTCTCGCCGTCGTAGATGTCGCTTCCCACGATGGGCGAGGGATGGCACTCCCAGGATTCATCTGTGGTAAGGCGGAACTCGGATCCGCTGTCAAGGAGATCGAGTTGAGCGAGGACGCCGATGCGGTCGCCATAGAAACACGTCAGACCGTCTCCCCAGAGAACGCGTCCGGCATACCACCCCTCACTAACTTCGACGGACAGGACGTTGGGCTGCGCGGGTTTCAAGAGGGGGCCGACGTCGAAGCATTGGTACTGAATGCGGTGTTGGTAGGCCGTCCATCCGGGCGCGAGCCACTCATCCCCAATCCTCTTGCCGTTCAGGTAAGCCTCATAGATCCCTAGAGCAGTGATGTAGAGTCTTGCACGGCCGCCATTGAGCTCGGGGGCGGTGAAAGTCTTGCGGAACCGGACAGGCCGGATGCCCCGCTCATCCGGGTGCGTTTCCGACCGAGGCGGGGCGGTGATGGGCTTTGCGGACCAGTCGTCTCGGGACAGAAGGGCAGCCTCGACCGTCGCCGGCTCGGACCATTCTGTATTAAGCTGTCCGTTGTCGGACGTGCCGGAGGACTTGACGCGGATGATCGCTGTTTCTGCTGAAGCTAGGGGGCTATCCGGCCATGGTACCAGGATCGATGAGCTGCTATCGACGTGAAACGATTGGGGTTGCTTCCCGCTCCGGGTGATTTCGACGTCGTAGGATGTCTGCTTCCAATTCTTTGGGAGAGGGTCGGATGTCACTCTCCAGGAGATTCGAGGGGTTGGAGATGGGACACCAATGCCGCCTGCGGCATGTTCAAACCGTACGTCTGTGATGGTGATAGGAGCCATGATTCAGGGAAGCCCGAGAACGTGTATTTGAACAGAGAGAGAGAGAGAGAAGAGCCATGAACGAGAGTCAAGGAGCTATCAAATACTCCTTAAAGAGATCCTCAGGGGCCAGATAAAGCCAGATCGTAACGCATCTGATCCACTGCGCTTCATCGGCAAGTGGTTTCGGTTTCCTCATTGGAATCAAGGTTGGGTGAGCCCCGCGGCCGGTGACATCAGCACCGAAACGCCGAGTGGGCGGCCCCGCTGAGCCGGAGGAGTTTAGGCCGAGAGAAGAGTAACACGAACTGTGGGTGTTGTACTCTAAAAGACGTTGTCCTCTCATTCTTCGTTTCTTCCATCGAACATGGTTTTGCCAAGGTTGTTGTTGAACTCTGTATACTTACAAATTTCTTGGCTATTGGGCCATCAATAGGAGAGGTGCGCAACATTGCCTAGCTCACCACAATACTCCGTACTCTCATTAGGAACACCTCATTCATTAAAGCAACCTATTTCAAAACAGGAAGATGAAGCCAACACAACATACAACGAGACATCTTCACGATGATAGACAGCCCGGATGGCTCACCGAGACTCACCTGCAACACACCTCAACAGACCTCGGTAGCCGCGTTCCGACTGACACCGGGTAAGGGACCATCAGCATCGGGCTAGGTCCGTTGGTTTCTTCCCCCTTACCCCCTGCCCCTTGTCCATTTACTCCGCAACACATCCCCCCAAGTGGAGAAACAGTGGACAATGGACTCATTTGGCCGGCGCAACACGGTGAAGACAGCTCACGAGACACCAATGACCGGCGCCCAGCTCCCCCGCAGTTTCCGCTAACTTGGGTTCCCCGCAGCAGTTCAATGCGCCCTCCCTTCCCCTGTCTTGGTGCATTGCCCGTTCGGAGAGAGACGCTGGAGCCGAGATCCATTGTTTTTTCTCCTCCCGCATGACCTTCCGAAACCTTCATCGTGAATGGAGCCAAGGGGTCTGTCTGTCTGGTCTCTGAACGACAACGACGTGAAAGCTTGGCTGTGCTCACTGTTGCATGTCTCGCGCCCCAGCTTCAGACTCATTGTAGAGAGTCTGTATCTCTCTGAAATTACAGGATGCTCTCGCCAGCGACGATCAACGACTCCGACTCAACCGCAGCGCTGCCCCTCGACCGCGTCGAAAGCACCGGCTCTCACTCTCACTCTCACTCTCAATCGCGGTCTCACGCCCACTCTCACTCGCTCTCTCACTCCCAGGGCCCCTCTCACTATGGCGCCGCTGCAGTGACTCCAGCTGCGTCCACGTGGGGCCTCGGCGACCCGGCACCCTCGCAGCACCTGTCGTCCGAGGCGTCAACATCACCAGCAGAGTCATGGCGTCTGGATGAGTTTGTGACGGACCCTGGTTACCTCGCCTACCAGGAGGAACTGCGATGCCTCATCTTCAACACAGCCCAAACCGCCGCGCCCACGAGAGAGGGCACGCCCGAAGCCGCAGATGGCGGATTCGCCGCGGGAGGCTTTGCTGCGCCGGGTACTATGCTGGGCGATGACTCGGCTGCAAGAAGACATGCTGGGCAGATCTTAGGGACGGGAAGGAGGTTGGAGTATCTCAAGAACTACGTCGGTGAAGTCGCGCCATGGGTGAGTCCATTGTAGGAACCCGCATAATTTTGTTTCGGTATACTCACCATCCACCAGCTCGACATGTTCGACAGCGACCGCGCCTTTGGCATCCAAGTCCCGGTATTGGCTCGCAGCTCTCCCGCCCTCTTGTATGCCGTCCTGGCTCTGTCGGCACGCCAGATGGAGCGCAAAGAGGGCAAGCAGACATCCTTCGACAGCTTGGAGCTCTACCAAGAGGCCATCCGACTCTTGACACCCCTACTCCAGTCCCGAGACCAGAAGATTATCCCCATCTGCACCATTCTCTGCTGCTTGGAGATGATGTCCGCGAGTGCGCAGGACTGGCGCAAACACCTCGAGGGCTGCGCGGCCCTCTTTGACTCTTTCTACGTTCACGGGTTCAGCGGCGGCCTCTTACAAGCCGTGTTCTGGTGCTACGCCAGGATGGGTATGTCCCACGATATCTCCATTGTCTTTACATCTACTCACTGACTATCTAGATCTCTGCGGCGCCCTCATATCCGACGGCACCGAAAGCACCCTCCTCACGCCCTCCAAATGGCTCCCCAGCGGCGCCTCCCACAACGACGCGCGCGAGCTCTTCCACCAGTCCGGCGGCACCCCCGACATGCACGCCAACTACGCCGTCTACCTCTGCGCCAAGGTCTGCGAGCTCGTCGCCGACAGGACGCGCTACTTCGAGCTCGGCGACGCCGGCACCTGCAGCAGCCCCGATGAGCTCACCGACCGCTGGATCCGCCTCTGGGAGGACCTGCAGGCCTGGACGCGCGACCGCCCGCCCGAGCTGCTGCCAGTCCAGAGCATCCAGAGCAGTCCGTTCCCGCAGATCCTGTTCCTCCACTGGGCGGCGATATCGTCCAACCAGCTGTACCACACGGCGTGTACCCTGCTGCTGGGCTCGATGCCGCGGCCGCTGAGTATCAAGCTCGGCGGCGTCACGGGGTCTGCGATATGGCACGCCAAGTGTATTTGTGGTATATCGCTAGCGAACCCGCACCAGGGCTGTCTGAATAATGCGATCCAGCCGCTGTGGGTGGCCGGCCGGCTGCTCAGTCACAAATCGGAGCACGCGCTGCTGGTGAGGCTCATCCGCAGCATCGAGGCCGTCACCGGATGGGGAACGTGCTGGAGGATCGATGACCTCGAGACCGCGTGGGGATACAAGGTTCGCAAAGAGCTCAGGGTCGCTGACATGGCAAGATGATTATGCTTCAAGGTATCTGCTACGAAGGTTGCCATACGCATCATCACAAGACTATGGTAATGCGCGCCTGTGGCTGGTATCGTTTACACCAACCCCCAATCCTCCCTCACCCTGGCCGCAAACCCGTCAACATTCCACCCAGCCAGCGCCTTCACGCGCTCAAAGCACTCCAGAATCGCCCGCTGCTGCGGCTCGTACGTCATCCGCTGCGCCGCGAGGTACAGCGACGCCACAAGACAAAGGTCCCAGCTGTCGCGGCGGTCGTTGTTCAGCGCGATGCCGCACACCCTCTGCGCGTGCCACAGCGGCGACGTCGCCGACGACGAGCTGCCGCCCGACTTCTTCGTCCCCGCCGCCGCCTGCAGCGTGCGCGGCTTGTTCTGCAGGAGCAGCAGCATCGCGGTGTGGTACAGCTGGTTCGCGAAGACGGCGGCGCCGTTGGTGAAGAGGATGATGGGGAAGAGGGTGTCGTCGCCGCCGTCGATCTCGACCATCGGCCGGAACTCCTGCGCGCGGTTGGTGTACCAGAGGCCCAGCGCGTCGCTGAGCATCGTCCAGCGGTGGACCGGGGTCAGAGGTGCAGCGCCGTTGGGATTTGAAGTAGGAGTCTGAGGCGGGAAGCTGCCGCTGCAGAAGTTGACGACCTTGGCGCAGAGGAGGAGGGGCTCGATGGTGTACTGGAAGATGGTCTCTGCGACGGCGGAGGAGGTGTTCCACTGCTGCGACATGGGGTTGTAGTTTAGCTGTTCGGGGACGGAGATGGGGGAGCCTGTTACGAGGGCGGCTGCGAGCTCTGCCGGGAGTTTAGCATGAAGGAACCGAGGATATGTCGAATATGAGCTGTACCTAGTCTGATCAAGACAGAGAGAATGGCGATTGTCTTCTGGCTTGCTTCCGCCAAGGCCACGGCCCAGAAATTGTCGTTGATGACGATGGGTAACTCGTGCCACCCGCTGGGGATATCGGTGATGAATCGGCAGGCTGTCGACAATGTCAAATGTGCCAAGTCGCCGTCATTAATATTATTCAAAGTGTTCTGATTCCACGGCGCTGCCTCGGCAAGCGTCTTCAGGTACTCAGCGTCGTTCGTCATCACGCGCGAATCTGTCGTTGCGGCGACAGCGAGTAGGGCGTGGAGGACACCCTCGGACTCGATGGCGAGGCGGGGCACGTAGAGGCCGAAGGTCTGGCTCATGTCGCAGAGGTCGAGCTGGTAGAATGTCTAAGTAAATCCATACAGACATCATAATTCGAATCTTAGTCCAACTTACCCAGGGCGCGACTTGGTACCTAAAGTGGCGCAACAACTGAAGCAGTCGATCTTGCGAGATTCTCTTCGCAGCGGGGACTACCACATTCGACCCCCTCCGTTCCCTGACTGAACCCGGCGAGACAGACATCAAATCTCTCGGACTCACGCCGATGCCGTCTGCGCCGATCCCAAAGGACCCAGAGCCTTGGTCGGGGGTCTGGACCAAGCCGGCGCTCGTCGTCGTGCCCTCGCTGCCCAGGGACAGCAGCACGTTGAGGGCCGTCTCGTAGGCGGCGTCGTTATTAGGCGAGGTTCCGTTCAGCTTGCCCGTGATGTCGAGATTTCGTACCGGCGAAGATAGGCTCTCGTGGCCTATGCTCTGCGCGCGCCATTGTGTCGGCGGCGGCGGGGGAGGCGGATGGTGGTTCTGCGAGATGCTCGGCTCGATGGGATGCGGTTTCGGGGTCGGAGGCTCTAGGGGTTGAGGATTTGCTTGGAAGGTCACGATAGTTGGTGTCTGCGCTGGGGGAGCATGCGGCGGCGGCGGCGCATTATTTGTCGCGGACGCATCATGAGGTTTTGGGGGTGGAGAGGCAGAATCGTCTTTTGCGCCCTGTTTCGCGGTGCCGGGACTCACGAACTGTGATGTTGTTGGTGAGTCGTGATGAAGAACAGGATCAGCTGATTCTCATCATCGTACACGTACCTGGAGCCTCGAGTACTTTGGCGTCGTCGCCTCAGTCGCTGTCCTTGGCGACGGTGAGACTGTCAATGCATTCTTGTTCAAGAAGGTGAGTCGAGGGCCGTATTGGCACTCAAAGTTGCCGTCGATGCAGCGCTGGCAGCGTGGTTTGCCTTCGTCGCCTGTATGGGAAGAGATTAGGTATGATCAGGACGATAACATGACTGCATATATTTCACCGAGTGTAACCGGGGCTGGCGAAGAAACACCATGAGTTGTGGGGATGATGACTCCAACAACAGCACAGTGAAACTCAAACACAATTCCTACCTACCTGAAGATGCAAAAAGAGATAAGAAAGATAGACTCACATTTACGCCGTCGGATCCGACACTTTAGACACCCGGTCCTCGTCCTCTTGTGTCTGGTTTTGGACGCGTTCGTCTGTTGACTGCCGCCAGCTCCCCCCGTTGCGGCGGCGGCGGTTGCTGATGCTGATTCCGTGTCGTCCGCCATTATTTTCGGTATCCCTCTCGGTCTCTCACTATCTCTCACTCAGCCTGCGACGACCGTGCTGTGCGCTGGGTGTGTGTGCGTGTGTGTGTGTGCCATTGTGGGAAGGGATAATTTTGTCGGATTGGGAAGGCAGACGACGTCCCCAACAAATAGTGGAGGAACGCGGAGAGACGCGGATGGAGGAAGCGGATGTGTGTACGGGGTATTGAGAGGCGACGGGTGCAGGGAAGATGGCTCGACGAGGCGTTGATGGTGGTGTGTGGTGTGGTGGGGATTGGAACTTGGAAACTTGGGGTTGGGAGTGCCACGCGATCACGGTTCGAGACAAGCGTTGACAGGGAGTTGGCGAGGAACTATTCTGATGGAGCTGTTGAATAGGCGGCTCTTTTCCTGTCTCTTCAGAAATGAGCTGGTTTTCACTCAGTTGAGGTAAAGACCATCGAAGAACAGTTGCAGCATCTTTCCAGCCGGTCATATTCCGACGCTACATGGCAAGCCACGTTTTTTCAAAAGCACATATGCATCATTTCGCCGTGGATAATTGACCCCATTTCCCCATCTCATGTGAGCGGTCTGGTCTCTTCAATTCCCCTCGTGGAACCCGGTCGAACACGAGTCAAACAGGGGGGCCACTAAGCGCGGGGATGCTTGCCCGTTTCTGCTAAGGAACGGTTAGCATTACCGTAAACGGAAGTCCCAAGCACCGCCAGAGATGCCCCTCCATGACGATGCAAGTGAAATGAGATTCGGGCTGCGACGCGACGGATGGTGCCCTGAGGCGGGGTCATTTGAAAAGATGCTGAAATATTTACAATCGGGGTCAGGCCGAAAATATTGTTGACCACGATTGTTTTGCCTTTCTCTTGCTTCACATCTCTCGCTCTTCTCACAGTTGTCTCCTTCAGCATCAATACCCCAATTCATTCACAAATTCCAGTCACAATGGGCAAGGACACCATCACCCTCGCTTCCGGCCGCGAGATGCCTCTCGTCGGTTTTGGCCTGTGGAAGGTTCCCCGCGAGACCTGCGCCGACACTGTCTACAACGTGAGTTGACATATTGTCCTGTGAGCTCTTATCGAGGCGACTATCTGACTTTGACGACATACAGGCCATCAAGACCGGCTACCGCCTCTTTGACGGCGCCTACGACTATCAGAATGAGAAGGAGACTGGCGAGGGTGTCCGCCGCGCCATCGCCGACGGCCTCGTCAAGCGTGAGGACATCTTCATCACCACCAAGCTGTGGAACAACTACCACCGCAAGGAGCACGCCCTCGAGATGGCCAAGAAGCAGAACGAGACCCTCGGTCTGGGATACATCGACCTCTACCTCATTCACTTCCCCGTCGCTCTGAAGTACATTGAGCCCTCCAAGATCCCCTACCCCGTAAGTCCCTCATCATCCTCAAACAATGCAAATGAACCGATAGAAGCCTAACAACGTAACCCAGGCCTGGTGGCAAGACGAGGCCCAGACCATCGTCGAGACCGACAACGTGCCCATCCGCGAGACCTGGGAGGTCCTCGAGTCCCTCGTCGACCAGGGCATCGCCAAGTCCATCGGCGTCTCCAACTTCCAGGCCCAGTCCCTCTACGACGTCCAGTCCTACGCCCGCCACCCCATCTCCTCCCTCCAGATCGAGCACCACCCCTACCTCGTCCAGCCCGACCTCATCTCCATGGCCCAGGAGAACAACATCGCCGTCACCGCCTACTCCTCCTTCGGCCCCCAGTCCTTCCTCGAGATCTCCAACAAGCGCGCCATCGGCGCAAAGGGCCTCTTCGAGGTCGACGCCGTCACCAAGGCCGCCGCCGCGCACAACGCCACCCCCGCGCAGGTTCTCCTGAGATGGGCCACCCAGCGCGGCATCGCCGTCATCCCCAAGAGCAACAGCCAGAACCGTCTGCAGCAGAACCTCGAGGTCAACGGCTTCGATCTGACTCCCGCGGAGCTTGAGGCCATCTCTGACCTTGACCTTGGCCTGCGCTTCAACGACCCCGGTTTCTACCTGCCCCACAAGCCTCTGCGCATTTTTGCTTAAGGGATGTTTCTTAATGATGTGAATGACTGGAAAATGGGTGGGAGGATGCGTCTTGGATAATGATCCGTGGGACCAATAGTTACCATAGAAATGGCCAACAAAGGCCTTGTTGAATGAATCAAAAAGTTACCCGCATACAAAAATCTCTTTTCTCTATTGAAAGTCCCCCCTGTTGATTGACTTGAAGCCAAGCGACGGGTGCGAAAGGCATAAGGCACGCTTCCCCGACATCATCATAGCTTCAAACGAGCTCAAGCTAGAGCTCTCAAAGACTTCGTTCGCAATGCATGAGGATAATGCGCCCACCCGAGCTATCTGTCCTCTCATGTCTCTCGGAACTCGGCCGATGGAGGGGGCGGGGCATCGGTCGCCGGGGGACGGAACCCGGTGCCCCTCAACACGAACCTGGTAATCAGCTTTAAACAGCCGGCATTTTCCCGGAGTCTAAGCCAATCCAGAACTGCCGGTGAGGTGCTTACGATTTCCGCATCGGGAAGTCCCAAGCATCACCAACAGACGAAGAGGAAGTGTTAGTCGCCCCGCGTCGGTCAGTTCCCCGCTCTTCCTTCTGGCAAACCCCAATTGGAACCGTCCCGTCCGATTGTCGACAATATTACCGGCCGGAACATAGATCACACGACGAGAAATTATTTTGTTTGGTGTGAAGCGGGACGGGACGCGAGCTAGAAGGGACTGTTGAGCTTTCTTCTCCTTTTTCCATTAGATCCTCGACGAATAGAAACGAAGGAGATTATCCGGTTGGGAGACAGCTCTTCTTTAACAGCTTGTGTTTTTCCGTTTCAAAGTCTACCGCCTTCTTCTCTTCCCTCTGTCGCGACACGGAACGTAGCTTTTGACGAAAGGATCACCGTTTGTGTTTGTTTAAACTTGCGATTTGTCGTCTCTCGTTCGCTCGACCTTCCTGCCACATACCACACGTCTGAAGATGTGCACAACGATATCCGAGGCGCCCGTCAACGGCGTCGCGCCCACCAAGAACGGCATCGTCGTCGTCACGGAGATGGAGAAGAATGCGGCCCCCGTCGAGACTCTGAAGGCGCCCTTGCCGAACCCTTCGCTGGTGGTCACGGCCGATCACCGCCTTAAGGCAGAGGAGGCCCCCGTCCTGGCGCCCAAGAAGGGCGAGGTTCTGGTCCACGTCAAGGCGACTGGTGTTTGTGGGTGAGTTTGTCCACAAGAATTCAGTCATGACGGACAATGCGCTGACAACTTCTCGTCCCCAGATCCGACATCCACTTCTGGAAGACGGGCAAGATCGGCACCCTCGTGTTCGAAGGCGACTGCATCATCGGCCACGAGGCCGCCGGCGTGGTCATCCGTTGCGGCGAGGGCGTCAAGAACCTCAAGCCCGGTGACCGCGTCGCCATTGAGCCCGGCGTGCCGTGCGGCGAGTGCTTCCTCTGCACAGAGGGCCGCTACAACCTCTGCGAAGATGTCCAGTTCGCCGGCGTGTACCCTTACCACGGCACCATCCAGCGCTACAAGTGCCATCCCGCCAAGTGGCTTCACAAGTAAGTGTCCACATTCCATGCGTTCATGACAGCATCGCGGAGAATATGCGGCGCTAACCCACAAACCCAGGCTGCCCGACAACATCTCCTACGCCGAAGGCGCCCTCCTCGAGCCCCTCAGCGTCGCGATGCACGGCATCCGCACCGCCGGCCTCTCCCTCGGCGTCGGCGCCGTGGTCTGCGGCGCGGGCCCCATCGGCCTCATCACCCTCGCCGCCGCGCGCGCCTCGGGCGCGCACCCGCTCGTCATCACCGACATCGAGCCCTCGCGCCTCGCCTTCGCCAAGACGCTCGTGCCCAGCGTCATCACCTACCGCGTCAACCCGGCGCTCGGCAACGAGGGCAACGGCAAGGCGATCCGCGCGCTGTTTGGGGATGACGAGTACAGCGCCCCGCGGACGGTGCTTGAGTGCACCGGCGTCGAGAGCAGCATCTGTACGGCGGCGTTCACGGCGCGTCGCGGCGGTATGGTCATGGTCATCGGCGTGGGAAGGGAGATTATGAACAACTTGCCGTTTATGCACCTTTCTCTGGCTGAGGTGAGTTCTGCCTGTCCCGGGTTCTGGGTCAATGGCGGGATATACTGACGATGTTTGCCTTGCAGATCAAGCTCGAGTTCATCAACAGATACCGCGACACGTGGCCTGCCGGCATCGCGTGCCTGAGCAGCGGCATTCTCGACCTCAAGAGCCTTATCTCGCACACTTTCCCTCTCGAGCAGGCCGTCGATGCACTCACGCTGGCGTCCGACTACAGGAACGGCAGCATCAAGGTTCAGATTGTGGACGAGGTCGACTCCGAAGTCTTTTAGATGGGTACGGCGGGGATGGTTGATGGAGCATTGATATCGGGGTGATGAGGCATGGTGTTGTTCGGGGCTTTATGTGATAAACTTTGGATGGGTAATGCGGTCGAGCATAGCATACTTAGCGAATTTGGCGTTGCGGCTAATGAATTTAATTCATGTGAACCAAGTTTTTGGTTTGAAAGTGCTGATAATCTTGACGTATTCAAGATTCGTGGCCCGGCCGACTAACGTCTCTGGCTAATACAGCTAGGAAACCTCTTTGGGCTCATGGCCACCAATACTCATTGATATTACGGATGCTAGTTTGTTAATCAGTTTTATCCATTTTATGGGCGCTCTGTCTGCCGAATGTCTTCTGTCAAAGTTGAAAGTGGCCATAGCCGTTGAAATCATACAACGGCCGACCAGGCCCGTATCCAGCCCAAAACTCGCCTTGATCTCTCCTCTGGTCATTGTCTCTGTTCCCCAGGTTTCCCCGGCCTTGATGTCTCCTTCGATTCTCATCTCTGTTGCCCATGTCTTCTCGACCTCGATCTCTCCTTTGGCCATCCTCTCCGCCTCCCATATTTTCCCTTCCTTGATGTCTCAGATACCTAACATTCATACCATCATCAGTGAACCTCAACTCCACATGCGGCTCGAATCGCCGCTGATCAACCCAAAAGCCTACCCCCAGAACATCCGACTCGCTGACGAAGAACTCCCCAAATACATCGATAAGCTGCATCTGCCCGGTCTGTCTCGGTAACATAGCAACCCCAGGACTGAGAAATCGCCGACAGAAGTCTAGCACCCTCTCCCTCAAATCATTCATACGTTGCCGGAATTCCTCATTCTCCACGACGGCATCGTTGTGCTCAACGAAGAGCTCTTGCAAAGGGTACAGGATGCTCTGCGTCCTGCCACATTCCCGTCCTTCCCATGTCCAGCAGGATATGAAAAGCTCAAAGGTGCAGTTGCCGTACCTGACGTTGAACACAACGTGCGGCGTCCGCTTGAAGTAGTTGTAAGGGATGTTCTCATACCCTTCGTCCAGCAGTTCCGCAACATCATCGTCAGAAGGAGGCACCGACATGCCGAATGTGACATGCCTGACAGCTGCTGGGGCGATTTGTCTGGACCAGTGGTTTTCGGGGAGTTCCTCTTCGCGTGCTCCGTCATTGTTGTTGATCGGCGCTGGTGGAGGCTCTTCTACGTCCCGGTCGTCGTACTCAGGGATCGGCTCAGGCCATGGTTCAGGGTCTGGATCTGGGTCTGCAAATTCAGGACCATGGTCGGGAATACGACCTGCCCCTACAGGCCGCTGTGGCCGTGGCGGGTCTTGCGGAATGTCTTGGGGGGTTTCTTGGTTAACCGGTTGCTGTGGTCTTGCTGGCTCGGGAGCTGGGGGGATGGGCCCGTAGTTTGGTAGCCATCTTTCCATGATGACGTTTGTAGTTGTGTTGAAGAATATTCCTCGCGTCTTCGGGTCGATGGAATTATAGCTCTCGGAGACGCCCATTTATATCGGGCATTGTGTGCGGTCATTCGTGGTGGTGAATCAGACACGAACACATTCACTGCTCTTTGACTCAATAGTAGTGATTCGGTCATAACAGATCAAACCATGCGAGAGACTTGGGCGGCCCAAGTCCATGAATAAAATTCAAGGCCCGACTGTCTATCACTTGAGAAATAAGCTAAGCCTCATCCCTGAGTCTCGCGCTGTCCGCCTGATGTTGACCATGTTGGGTAACTGCGAACAATCGCGGCATACGTTTTTGGTCTACTCTTATGATTTCAAACCTCTCGTGGTCTTTAGAAGCCTAGACCGGATATATGGAGATGAAGAAAAACGACTTTGTGGTGGTGATGAGAAAACTGACGTTGATGTCCTGATCTGCGCAATGGTCATGGAATTCCTTTGTGCAACGTCATGTAGTACACAAGAAAAGGTACCTCTTTTCCTACGATCGGGATGTGGAACTCGGAAGTACGAAAACCTCCTATGGTAGCCACAGCTAGGATGTGTCTCCCCTCGTGGGAAGTAATATTATCTGGTATCCGGAAAGGCTTGTGAGCTTAATGGCAGAGCGAGTGGTCAACTGCATTGCGAGATCAGTTCCCTGCTCATTTGTCCCCTAGTCATGGATTAAAGACCATATGGCTTGTTCATCAAGCCAAGAATCCAGCTGAGCAGAAAATCTGAACCAACTTAATACGTACGATTCTAGTACCTATGTGCTTGCGATTTCATCCTTGCAGCAATTGGCGAGTGCTCAAGACAGCCTGTGGTCGAGGCAATGTCCCACAGAACACGGGTGCGAGATCGGCAAACTCGCTACCGAGCCAACACCATTGGGGAACTTCTATCTTGCCATGCGCATTTCATTCTCGGCGTCCAGGCTGACGCGCAAGTCGCGTATGCACATGGGACCTCACAAATGCCTCTTCGGACCTACATACCATTGCCCTGGATAATCATGCCGCTGGGCCACTACCTCCGACAGGCAACAAGCTCAGTCTTCTCCCTTCACGACCTGTTGCTCCGGCCGCCGAACTCTTCTCCGGACAGTTCGTCTGAACAAGGTTAAGATTAACCACAATCCTGACCCCCCAATCGCACCGAGCTTCTGCCCACATCCCACCTTACCGTGCCCGCAAACCCCCAACAATTGCGCGGACAGACCACTGAAGAAGCCCTGTCAAACCGCCCCAGGATCCAGGATCTCGTCGCGCTAGAGTGTATCAGAAGCTCCGTCGTCCCCCAGCGGGGCCGCGTGCTTTTTCGCTTCAATTTAGCGTCGGGGTCCCTTGGCTGCGGTGAGCGCTGTCATTGCCTGTCAAAATTGGCTAATTCCTTCGCTTCGGGGCCTGCTCCCTGCTAGAATGTCAATCACTTCCCGAAGGAGGCGTCCACTTTGCGGCATCTCCATCGACTTCACTGTTCCTTGCGTCGTCGTCGGCGGACCGCCGAAAAGTTAGCTGAGATGGAGAACAGAAAATCGCGCCACTCTGGGAAGGTGAGGGTTTGCGCTCCCGATAGCCTCGGGTTCCAGATAGAGTTGCGGAAGTGCGACTGAAGAGAAGTGCCTGCGTCGCTATGTTCACTGTACTCAATGACAGGCTGTTGTAGTGATCCGGTTGCCCTTCTATGACGCCTCGATTCACTGCCCGGGCATAAGATGCAGATTTGGACCTTGCCTTCAGATTCGCTGCCGACCTACATGCACCGATGCTAAGGGGTACGTGGACCTGGACGCCGAACTAACAGATAACGTGAGTGAACCCAGGGGTTGCGCAGACCGGGGTTAAAGTTGGATTCGGGACGGAATGGACTGCGGTCTGTGGTCCAGCCTTCACTGTGAGAAACTTGGCATCGGCATCGTGCCAGGCTATTGGGAGCAAGGTGACCTTCTGAATGGGCAGTGGCATCGTGCGCTGAGAGATCGAGGTCCACTGATAGGCACCGTCACGAGATCGTCGGATGCGACCGACGTTGGTTCTTAGGTTGAGGTGATAATATTCTCTTGGAGGAAAGAAAGGCTTTTCAGTATCCTTCATCAAGTTCAAATAACCATGCATGGCCTTGGAGGCAAGATATTCGGCGTTTGTTCTAGCTGTGACCGGCCGATGTAAAGGCTCACTGTGATCAGGATAGTAAACAGCCCACAAGGGAGATTTCGAAATGAAACTCGATGGTCCCCAAACGCAGCATAGACTAGCGTGTTATTTGAAAATCCTGTTTTCCCACTGCATAGCTAGCTACTGCGGACTTCTGAAGGTCTACATCACGTTGCAGTAACAACCATCTGCGGGCCTAGAATTTGTGTTAATTCGAGTATTTCATGAGCATTGATATTGGGAGACGCTCACCAAACACCACAGCAGAAGCCTTGCTTGTCAATGCAACCGCCACGCATTTGTACCTGATCTTGCTGTCGAACTTGTTCCGATCCTTGTGCTTGCATTGTAGGCTGAGCGGTTGTTGGAGGCTGAGACTGCTGCCCCTGAGCAGGTTGATCGTTGTCACCAGCCATCGTGAGCATATCTCGTTACCATGTGTAGGTGCTTTCGGAGTTATCCTTCAGAGAAAGTAGAAGTCATTGAGCAAAAAACCACTAGCAGCATTTATAAGTTCATGGAATATTCATGGCGGGACTGTGAGTTCCTGCTTGTTGGCGCGGTGAATGGAATCTACCTATGGCGTGTTATCTGCCACCCGAGTGAATCGGTGAATTGGATGAAGTCAAACCCTTGGTACGGGCTTCAATTGTCAGCTCCATCGAGCATATTCATACCTGATACGACTTGACATCATGGAGTCCAATATGAATTTACAACGAGAAAGGCTCCATATCCGCTCCTTTAGCAAGCCTTGTTTTCTAACCGCAGACGTTGCTACAAGTGAGAGTATTCGAGGCCATCAACCGAGGAATGCTTTCAACAACCTCTTTTTTAATCTAGAAATAATTATGAAAAGACCTGCTTCCTGCTTGTCAAAGGTTGAAGATGGAAGCTGAATTGCATGTAAGGCATAGTACGGTTTGTTAGGTGTTGAAAAGCTGATTCTCGATATCACTAGCACAGAACAAAGATCATGACTCTGACGAGCTCGTTAGACATGACGATCTGCTCAAGGCAATCGAACGGAGTGACCCGGGTCTCCGCCCCGATCCTCCATCAAAGATCAGCATATGCGCGCCCGCCGGCACGTCCGCACTCGCGAGTCAGTCTCCAGATCTCTCGAATACATGGAATGCAGGTATTTCCTCACCAATTGACATTCACCTTTGCGTCCGAGTTTCTGATCGGGTCTCATTCCGACTTTTGGTGCCATTGTCCGTGGGTTTTGACTTCGCGTCCGCATTCTAGAACGATAAGCAGTTCCAGAACGACCCTGGATCATCGTCCGTCTTGGCTTTCAAGGTTCACAGAGGTTCCTTGCGTTGCCGAGTTGTCGTGAACTTGGGTATCAAAATAAGCGCCTTGGCAAGTGGCAAGGGAATATCTAGCGCCCCTGAGATGATGCAGGACCGGCGGGACATCAGGCCCCGACGGCTGAAAAGTCAGCCAATGCTTTCGAAGCAGGGCGGGATGCAATTCTAGGCCTTACTCATGTTGCGGTCAGCAAAGGCCTCCAGTGAAAGCCGCGAAAAGCATCAATCCTCTACAAGCTGTCAAAGACATAACTTAGGGACATGTCTCGTTAGCGAAAGCTGACGTTGAAAAAAGGTCGGCTCCCCGTAAAATAAAGCACACACACCTGCGGCACGGTCACGGCTCTTCAGCGAACCACCCGCAGCAAACTGCCGCCAGTACCGTGAATGCCGCTGTTTGTCGACGCAAACGGCGGTTTGCTGGGGGCATTTTGGGGGCTAGAAGGTAATTAATTTCGCCCAAACCCTGTCCTGCCAAGGCTTCGTATAGGAGGGACCCCTGCTAGACTAAGGCGAAGCCCCCCATCTGCAGTTGAGAAGCAGAAAAAAAAACTCTCTGGGATGAGCATCCTGTTTCTGCATCTCAGGTGGTGCAGTTTTGACGGCGCTCCTGTGCGATGGAGTCTCATTTTGCATGCGGACATACGCTGCATATTCGGTAGCCAAGTCCATATTCCCTCGTGGCAAGAGCTTGGATCCCGGCTGCTCGGGATGGGATCATGCGGCTCAGGACCAATAGCTTGCAAATAGCCACGTGTGTGGGGGTGGGAAGTTGAGGAATGGTCCGACGCGGCGGTGATCTTCTGCGTGTATATAGCCGTGGGTGAGGAGCATGTCGATCATGAATGTCTCTCTTTTCCCCTCTTCTCTTCATCCCTCCAGCATCCAAGCTCAGCGGATCTTACACTCCTTTGAAGACAAGTCTTCCTCCATCTTGTCAAGATGCCTTCTCTCGGAAGAGCTCTGCTGCTCGCCGCGGCCATGCCACTGGCCAGCTTCGTCGGCGCCCAGAACATCGTCGTCGACGGAGAAGCCATTGGTAAGTGGGGCGCATGTCCCGTCAGTCCTCTTCTTCAAAGTCTCTTCTAACATGCTCGCAGAGGCCAACGAGGTCACCGTTGCCCCCGCCGCCGAGGAGTTCCCCGAGGCTGAGATCCCGGAGGAGACTGTCCAGTTGACTGATGCCGTGCTTGCCAACCTTACCCAGCTCGAGCTCAGCAACATTTCGCTCTTTACCTTCCCTGACACTGAGGGCGTTGAGAAGCGCGCCCTCCCCAACAACAAGTGCAAGACCTTCCCTGGCGACTTGTTCTACCCCACCGAGCTCGTCTGGAAGGTCTTCAACCTTCTGACTGGCGGTGCTCTCATCAAGACTGTCCCTCTTGGTGCTGCCTGCTACCAGGGTGAGCACTACGATGCCGAGAAGTGCCAGTACCTCCTCGACAACTGGTCCAACTCTGATACTCAGTGAGTGGCTACACGCGACTATAATGCCAGTACCGTTGACTAACTCTTTGAAGCGATGAGGACCCTACCTCCGTCATGTCCCCCATCTACCAGGGCGCCACCTGCCAGCCTCAGAACGCCGCCAACAACCAGACTTGCGAGCTGGGCGGCTTCCCTCTCTACTCCGTCAAGGCCACCAATGTCGCCCAGATCCAGCTTGCTATCAACTTTGCTCGCAACCTCAACCTCCGTCTGGTTGTCCGCAACACTGGCCACGACTTCCTTGGCAAGAACACCGGTGCCGGTTCCTTGTCCATCTGGACCCACAACCTGAAGGGTCTCAAGTTCATCAAGAACTACGAGTCTGCTGGAGGCTACAAGGGCCCTGCTTTCAAGCTTGGTGCTGGTATCCAGGTCTCTGACCTGTACGAGGCGGCCAACAAGGAGGGCTACACCGCTGTCGGTGGCGAGTGCCGCGTAAGTTAAGAACATGTCCCATTTGTTTGTGACACTACTAATCGTGCAATAGTCCGTTGGTGTCACCGGTGGCTACCTCGCTGGTGGTGGTCACTCCCCCATGAGCCCCGTCGCTGGACTTGGCAGTGACCATATCCTCTCCGTCGACATCGTCACTCCCGATGGCCGCCACGTCACCGCCGACGACAAGAACAACAGCGACCTTTTCTGGGCTGTCCGTGGTGGCGGTGGTTCTACCTGGGGTGTCGTCACCTCCATGACCGTTCGCGTGTACCCCAAGAAGCAGTTCTCTGGACTCACCTGGAGCCTCAACACCGCCGAGAAGAACATCTCCAGCACCGTCTTCTGGTCCGCCATGGAGGCCTACTGGCGCCGCTTCCCCGACTTCTCCGCCAGCCACAGCTACGGCTACTCCACCCTCTTCCCCGCCGGCAACGGTGCCTTCCTCTGGAGCATGCGCCCCTGGCTCGTGCCCGGCATGGCTCTCGACGACTTCAAGGCTATGGTCGCTCCCCTCTTCGAGGAGTGGGCTACTCTGGGCTTCAAGGTCGAGCCTGAGTACTTTGAGCACGACAACTTCTACGACACCTGGAAGAACCACTTCCCCATGGAGAGCGTCGGCAGCGCCACCATCCGCACTGCCTCTCGTCTCATCCCCAAGGCCAACTGGGAGGATGCCGCTCTCCTGAACGAGACCATCTCCACCCTGAGAGGTATCATCGAGGAGGGCTCAGCGCTGATTCAGTACAACATGAACGCTGCCGCCCCCGCCGAGACCACCGAGAGCGCCGCCAACCCCGCCTGGCGTGAGAACCTCATGTTCGCCATCATCGGAGGCGGATGGGCCGACACCGCCACCACCGAGGAGGTCAAGACTGCCAACGTCCGCATCACCCAGGACTGGATGGGCAGACTCCGCAAGATCACCCCCGGCAGCGGTGGTTACGGCAACGAGGGAGACGTCATGGAGCCCGATTTTGGCCAGGCCTTCTTCGGATCCAACTACGCTCGTCTGGTTGAGCTCAAGAAGAAGATTGACCCCTGGGGAGTGTTCTACGCCCCCACTGCTGTCGGCAGTGAGGACTGGTACATTGCCCGCCAGAACGACTGGCTCACGCTCCAGACTGACCGTCTTTGCCGCAAGTAAACATAGTATAATTATTAGTTGATGAACGGTGACCAAGCATGGAGTTGGGTAGCGACTTCGGTTGAAATAAAACTTGTTATTTCGTCAATTTGCTCATCCAATGTGCAATTAAATGACCGTCATGCCTTTTTATGTTGGGACCAGATGCCGCAACTACATGTGTTCTGCTTACCTCGTGGTATGTGCCCACGTCGTTTCAGCGTTCTGTCAAAAGGCAAAAACATTTTGGTGTTGAATAAACCTATCTCGTTCTATGTTCACGCGCATCAGCCGCCGCGAAGTGGGTCAGTAGTTACTGTTCCAGCCATCAAGACTCCCCTTTCCTATGCCAACGTCATCCTCCGCCCAATTTTGAGTTTCCAGAGTATTAAATTCAATGAACTACGGGTGATATTTAAGAAAGACAGTCAACCGCAACACGGCTGCGAAAACACTTGCAGAAACCACGCTGAGGTGGCGAGCGCAGCTTTCGTCAACAATCAATCGATGAGTTTTTGATGCAGACAGCTGAAAACCCTTCGGGGTACTAGATTAATATCGAATGAAAATGCCGTCCATGCGCCACCTCTGAGCGCACTCCATGTTTGATGTAGAGGTCGCCTACGCACATATGCATCGTATTAAGTTGCCTGAGAGACTAGCTGGCCTGGGCACTGTGGAGGAATACGGCAAAAACGAGGTGAAGCGCAGCATCGACAAGTACTGACATTCATATGAGAGATTGACACAAACATTTACAGGCAAATTGATTGGCCATATAAGGCCTGTTTGCGCCAATAAGCAGTTCCCTATCGCGGATTAGTGCATGCAGTCCAACGAAATGGTTGCCTGTTGGAGAATGTTCAACGCCTGTTGGTTCTGCTGTCGTACGAGATACTGAAATCATGTAGTTATGATTCGCCCAAATAGAGGAGATGTTTCCCCTTAGAGCAAAATGCCCGATAAAGAGTCCACCGCTTAAATTTGGTGGGCGATGAGCCAAGAAGAGGGGTACAAGACTTTCTCATAGATTGTTCATCTGCGTCGAAACTTCACGCTTCATTATTTCAAGAAACAGAAGAAGCCTCTTGATTCAGAAAATCTCGTTCGCCAACTTCTGTGAGCACCATGTCAGACAACAACGAGACTGTCTCCCATCAGCAGGCAACAGAGCCAGCAACGGCATCAGCTGATGCAGAGGCCCATCCCAACAACGTGCCCGACCTTGAGGTCTTCATTGAAGCTGGAGAAGAGGTAAGCATTACTACCGTATTACCGATCTTGGTACGACGACCTAAACATGTTTGTAGGATGATGATTCGGAAGACGACACTGTAAGTGAGATAACCTAGCTTCTTTGCTAGATGACTCCTGGTTATTCACAAAATTCTCGTTTAGCGAAGTCTACCGAGTTCAAGCACAAGTGTAACAAGTTCTGTTTTCCAATACAGAGTTGAAAATGGAAGAACCTATCATTCCTACAAGGATGGCAGTAGGTTTACCCCGTAGTGGACGCAAACGCATATGCCTAAGCTAACCCTTGACGACAGAGTATCCTTTGCCAAATGATGAAAGAGAACAAGATCGCCTAGGTATGGGGTTCTCCGCCTCCGCTCAAGAGGAGCATCCTTTGTACTAACTTAGACACCAGATTTGCAGCACAACATGTTCCTTCTTTCTTTTGATGACAAGCTTGGAACCGCCCCTCCAAACGAACCCGGAGCCAAGGTAGGACGTGTCCTTGATGTCGGCACCGGCACCGGTATCTGGGCTATGGACTTTGGCGACGCTCATCCAGAGGCTGAGGTTTGTGGCCAGCAAAGAATTGTAGTTTCCTGCTTTCTTACTATTAACAGATCCTCGGAGTCGATCTTTCTGCTATCCAGCCTGAGTAGTAAGGCTTCAAACAACCCGTCATTACTTCATTTCCCAACACTGATTGCTACAAGCACGCCTCCCAACGTCAAGTTTGAGATTGACGATATCGAAGAGGAATGGCTCTTCTCACGGCCCTTCGATTACATTCACAGCCGCATCATGAACTCAGCAATCCGTGATTGGAGGAAATTTATCCAAAATTCCTATGAGTAAGTGGTCTTGGTCTGGATCATTACGGGCAACTTAGTTTCCAGGTTTTGTTTTCTCCCCATTTCCTCCATGGTAACCTGCAAGGGTGTTCTGTCCTTTCTCTAAGTGGCTTTAATCTGTGTCCGAATCATTTATGATGGCTAATCACATCCCGCAGTAATCTGACGCCGGGTGGCTACCTGGAACTAGTTGAGATGGACCTTCAACTCAAGTCAGACGATGGCACCCTCAAGCCTGAACACTCGATCATGAAGACACTCGGACTCCTAGCAGAGGCGGCTCAGAAGCTTGGGGCAGCGTACCAAGACCCGAAAGAGCTGAAGCCCATGATGATACAGGCCGGATTTACAGATGTGGTGATGCAGCAGCTGAAGTGGCCTACCAGTCCTTGGCCCAAAGACAAGCGATACAAAAACCTTGGGTCCTGGGGCGGTGAAAATATTGAGGCCGGTTGGGAGGCCGTATGTATGGCTCCGCTGACGAGGGCTCTCGGGTGGTCCCGCGAAGAGGTTCTGGTTCTGTTGGCTCAGAATCGGCAGGATTTCCGCAACAGGGACATCCACTCCTACTTTTCCATGTCAGTTGCAAAGTCTTGAGTTATGTTTCCCTCAATCTTTGGTTCATTCATTAACATGCTGAACAGATGGGCCATATACGGGCGAAAGCCTGAAAAGGAAGAATCGGCTTGATTAGCTGCCGAGTTTTGGACAGAATGGCACGCGCTCGCGGGCAGCGTTCATGGTTGAGTTTACTGATAGGGCTTCCCTGATGATAGATGCAGAGGTGTTCAAGTGGCGTTTTTCTTGCTCTGTTCGAGAAAGACGAATTACAGTAATCAAAATTGGGACCATGAAAGATGGTTGACAACTGGCCTCTACGTATTCATCTCAAAATCTGTGCATGAAGACGCGTGAAATTTGCATCGTACGATAAGGGTATGAAACACGTCGTCCAAATGACGAAAATGGGATATTACGCGAAATACGACAGGTCGTTGAGCAGAAAAGATCTCAGAAGCGCCCGATGTCACCTGGACATCTAAAAGCGGCTATCGACCACCACGTGCCGCTTCGCGCTAAAGGTGGCAGCTGAGACCTCAACCCCCATCATTCTTCGTTAGCCTCCATCTTCATGGTTCTTCACCGACATCATCCAGCGGAAATCTCACGCATGCCGTGGCCTGCATAAATCCAAAAGCACTCGAACATGGGTTTCGTGATTCTCTTCGCCTTCCTGGCGGTGGGCGGCCTCCTCGCAAGGGAGTTCTGGCTTTGGTACCGCTTGTCACATGTCCCAGGCCCGTTCTGGCACGCCATCACCGGCTTTTCCATGGCGCGCGCGGCGCTCAACGGATCAGTTCACGAGTACTACATGGAAATTCACGAGAAATACGGTGAGCGCTGGGTTTTGACGCCTGCCTGATATGCGCGCTGAGATTCCATAGGCCCTCTTGTCCGAATCGGACCAAACACCGTCATGTTCAGCGATCCCGATACCTTGAAAAGAATCGCGGCTGCGCGGAGCAGATACACGAAAGGCGAGTGGTACGCAGTTGGAAGAACGACTCCGGGCGAGGATCACCTTTTCTCGATGCGCGATGAGGAGAAGCGCAAACATTTGAAGAGCAAAATGGGCCCAGGTGTAAGTCCAGCTCACGCAGCGAAAATAGGTCTTTGATCTGCAGCTCCCACTGACGTTATCAGTATTCCGGCCTTGAAAATGGCGGTTTCGAAGCTGGTATTGACAAGCAAATTGCCGCATTTATTGACTTGATCGACACTAAGTACATTTCCACACCAAACGTGTTCAGACCCATGGACATGGCCAGCAAGTCGACGTACTTTGCCCTGGATGTAATCAGTGAGCTAGGTTTCGGCCACGCATACGGTTTCTTGAGAGAGGACCGTGACTTGTATCAGTATGTTGCTACAAAGGACGCCTTCTTCCCAGTGATGATCACGATGGGGAATGTCCCCTGGCTGGCCAAGCTCATGCACAGCTGGCCTCTTAACCTGGGGCTGCCAAAGTCAGCAGACTCGGCCGGCTTCGGGGCACTTATGGGGTGAGATATGATCAAAGTAAGCAATGGAGAAAGAATATTGGCATTGACCTGTTGCGCCAGGTTTGCAAAGACATTTGTCGACGGCAGATTGGCCCCCGATACGAAGCCAGGGAAAGACATGATACAGTCCTTCATCAACGCCGGCCTCACTCAAGAAGAGTTGACACAGGAGGTCTATGTGGAAACGTACGTCTTTTACCAACCTGCGTCTATTTGTCACAAAAGCTTAGGCTAACAACGTTCAGAATCGCTGGATCAGATACGACAGCCACTGCTATCCGCATGATACTGCTGTCGCTTTTATCGAACCCTTCCGCGTTCGCAGCGCTTCGTGCAGAGATAGATGCTGGTATTGCTTCCGGAATGCTGAGCTTTCCGGTCAAAGACTCAGAAGCCAAAGCCATGCCATATCTTCAGGCAGTCATCCGAGAAGGACTTCGTCTCTACCCACCTTCGACTGGCGTTGTCAGCAAGGAGGTGCCGCAAGGGGGCGACACCATTCACGGTTACAAATTGTCGGCAGGAACACAGCTGGGAGAGAATGTTTGCAGTATTGGAAGAACAAGAGAGGTTTTTGGTCCTGATGCTCATCTCTTCAGGCCGGAAAGATGGATTGAGGCCGGGAATGACAACGAAAGATTCAAGATGATGATTGCAACCACAGATCTCGTCTTCGGATTTGGCAAGTTTTACTGCATGGGCAGAAACATCGCGCTCATGGAGTTGAACAAGATCTTCGTCGAGGTAAGCTGTCTCATGACGCCGTTCTGATGACTTTTTTGCGACCGACAAGCTAACCGTTGTAGCTCCTTCGAAGATACGACTTTGCCATTGCCAAACCTGAGAAGCCATTGAAACTTTGGAGTGCTGGCTTTTGGATCACACATGACTTTTGGCTGAGAGTCTCAAGGCGGAATGGCCGGGGAAAGTAGAGGTTACATGTCTCAGGGATTAATACTTGAAGGGTTTCAAATCATTTTATTTTTTTCGCTTTGAGAAGATTCCACACGTTTTATTGAAGAGCCTACTTATTGTTACACCTCAATTATTTCTTACTGTTCGCATTGCAGCCATCGACTTCTTCTGCGCACCTACCAGTGCCAGTGTGGAGGCTCCTGTCCTAGAGTTCAAGAGCTGTGACTGCTAGTTGTGTTCAAAGGCAAGAGAACATGGCTGTCAAATTGACCACCAAAGTGGAGGATATGAGACCCCTTGTTGCGAGTGGTGGAGCTTTTGGTTCTCTGCGCTTCCACGAAGAGAGGGTTGGTAGAGTTCCCACCCAGCTGCTGCATAGTAGGGCTTGTACCCGGCACATAGGTTCCATTCTCCTTCGGAATTTCAACGCCTGCAACTCCAAATCCCATGTCCAAAGTTGACGGTGTCAGCACAGTTGGAGAAACTGTGAGAACTATTTTCTCGCCCGGATGAAACCGAAGAGCTGTTGGCCATAGACCGATGTCAACAGGAACGATTTCGCCAGAACTGAGCAAGTCCTCTCGTTCATGCAACAGGTAAGGCTCAGATGGAGTCGAACGAGTCTCGTCGAGTGCTCTGCGGGAAACGCGAATGTTTCCACGGGCCACAGGATCGGTACTCTCTGCACTACCAGCACGAGGGAACGGGTTGCCTTGGGCATCTCTCTTCTCGACTGTGATAGCAAGCTCCAGATCATCTGAACCTTTCGCCTCCACCCAGAGACGGACTTTGACGTACCCAATGATCTCAACAAGATCTGGGACTATGTAAGAGAACAGCACGCCAGTGGTATTCGCATTGATTTCATAGGACACGGAGGTGGATGAGGGAATAGGGTTGTGACTAAGGGTCCGGTTGGAGCCGAGGAAGAGGGTGGTAGACTGCAGATCCGGCACAGGCCAGTCCTCGACAACGCGACCGACAGTGTCATTGGAGCCGGGGTCAAGAACAGAAATTCGTACTCGTGGTGTCTGCTCCCAGTCGTTCGGGCCGTCTTTGAGAAAACGATCGAAAAAGGCACGTAGCTCTTCAGTGTGTTCCTGGACGTAAAAGTCCTCCCACTCATGAGTGTTGTGCACCCGAAGCCACTTCTTATCGGAGCTGATGTGCCGAAACCCGTCAAAGGTGCCGTGAGTGTGCGCGAGATTGGTGTAGCTCGCCACGACATAAGCTGGGACTGTGATGTTACTCAAGTTGGGGCTCCGATTTCGCCAATAAATGTTGTCCAAACTGTTGTTCAACATCATCCTGGGGGTGTCTTCGACATAGTTATTTCCTGAGAAAGTAGTTATGATGGCCTCTTCGAAGCCTAAGTTCCCAAGTCCAAACGATGTTGCTGCTGCCCGCAAGACATCCGTAGCGCCCTCCCAGGGGGCAATGGCTGCCAGGTGTGGGGGTTGCGACGCCGCAATGTGCCACTGTGAGATTGCGAGAAATGAGTTCCCGGCCATGCCTATCTTCCCATTGCTCCAGGATTGGTCTGCGGCCCATTCGATAAAGTCGTATCCATCTTCGGCGAGTTGGCGGCCCCAGTAGGTGATGTTACCCTCCGAGGCGTAGGCTCCGCGGGCGTCGGGGTTCAATATGGCGTACCCCTTTGATACCCAGTAGGCCGGGTCAGGGGCCTCAAACTTTTGTAGCTCGGAAACAAGAAAAAGGGGAACATTCGACCGGTTCGCAAGGTCGTCGAGCCACTGACCTCCGATTTGTTTTCCGTAAGGACTCCAGGCCACAATTGCTGGGACAGGCTGATCTCCGACCGGACGAAAGACATCTGTGTAGATGGTAATGCCGTCGCGGAGGGTGACCGGGACGTCCCTCTCGAACACGATATCACAGCTCAGAGGCATTGCCCCCTTCCTGCGAATGGTCCCGTTCTTGAGGAGCAAGGTTTCCTGCTTGAAACCAGGGTAACGAGCTCGCGGTGCGTCGGTTGGAAGTAGGCGGCGCATGAAGACTGGGTAGGCATCATCGCCATGAATGCGTACGGTGCCTTGGACTACGTCTGGCTCAGAAGCCTGAAGGAGCGAGTTGGGGCCAGCCTGGTCAGCACCAACAATGACTGAGAGGCAGGCTGTGAATGAGAAAAGAGTGAGAGATTTCATGATTGCAGTGGCTAGAAATCGGATTGAGTGTGTTGTAAGACGGAAGATACGTGATGTTCTGGAAGAGGACTGTGGGCTTTATAGCTCGAAGCTGTCTTTCTGAACTTGATAAATCCATTAGCCATCTCCGTTCAGTGTGTGTTCCAGCAAACCGGCTTCCTCGAAGTTGCCCGAAACCCTTCCGCTGCCACTAGTGACCGGCTTTGGCTTTTACGATCATATGGCCGAACTACCGAAGCAATCTCATCCAGGACTTTGTGTCTCCATGTTAGTTTGAACGGCTTTCAAAGGCTTGGTCGCCCGTCGGAAAGTGGAGATTTTCAGGAAAACGCGGGCAACGTAGTTTCGGCAGTGCGGCGCTCGCTGGCCTCGAGAAGTCTAGGAGCTCATGATGCCGCTTAGTCACGCAGTGTTAGTGACAGAGTTAAATCACATCACCATTTTAACTGATTGAAAAGACGCCTCCCTTTGACAGAGCATTTACTAGAAGCTCAGCTACCTTGTTGAGAAGTGGATGCTTTGACAGACCGAGCCTCGATGGTACTAG